CGTCATTTGCCTCCTAATGGGGTGTTTTGCAAGTAAAGTCTACGTGGAGGGAAAGTGGCGGAAATTATGTTGAAGCATTTTTTTTTAGATCTTCAACTTATGTCTAGTGCATTGCCTTTGCTACTTATATCTAGAGCATTGTCCTTACTAATTATCACAGCCGCTTATATCCAGAGTCTCATCTCTGCATTAGCTTCATCGCAGCTACTTATCTTTAAAGCATCATCCTTAGCCAAAAGTCCACACATTATATGCATATTCATACATGAACTTGGGAGACTATTGTGATACTTTACGTTGTTATTGCTAGTATATGCATTATATTATTGCTGCCAAGTACACTTGTTACATTATTGCTAGCATGTCGTAACACTATTTTCACTATTGTAAGTACGTATGTCACTTTATCTATATTATCAACATGTTACTTGCTTCACATTAACAATACTATCACATTGAGCTGTGTAAGCATATGATCTACTATGATGCATGATAGACATTCTGCACATTATATTTTGTTACGATGCATGATCACATTATATTTTGGAGAAATTTAAATTATCACTATTTCTCTTTATTGTTATTATTTGGAAGGGCAAATGGACCCCAAATTTACTTTATATATGTGTAATGGAGATATTATGTTGTATTACAAGTTGATTTAGTCCATATTATAGAGGTGATGCTGTCGAAATTTCGAAAAATTATATTCAATATCTATCTTTTGAGGCAATTCGTAAGTTCGCCTATTTAGGACCGATGCATATTTTCGAGGCAGTTCGTAAGTCCTCGTTTATCGGAACTATTTATATTTCTAAGGCAATCTATAAGATCTCGCTTAGTTGACAGCTTATATTTGGAAATCCCACTCGCACATGAATGTACGACTTAGACTTGGAGAACCATTGTTATATCCATAAATTACGTGACATACGCATGACGGATGGGATCACACATTGGCCAACTTGACATATATTATTTAATTGAGTTGGGCTTATTAAACTAAGCAATTGCATCTTGGGCTCGGCCTATTAACCATTGGTCAATTTACATTTTCCTATATATATGTAAGTTTCATTCACAATAAGGTATGTACAGAAATGATCTAATGAGCACCGGTGCTCATCTTATCCTAAGCACCGATGAGTTGCCACATTAATTCATTGATGGATAAAGATTTTGTGAGTTACAAGAATTACATATATTAATGTTTGGGCCAAGAATCATTACTAAAGA